GTTGTTGACATATTGAGCTACGGTCCTCATTCACAAGTTGTTGACTCTGAAATTGGTACTTGAATTGGTATTCTAGACCGAGGGCGAACACCTTTCCACTAACGGTCTGTAAGGATGAATATATGATCTTAAAAGGGACGGTTGTGGCACTTACCTAACTGCCTTTGCCGTGACAGGATCCGGTGGTCATGGATTTGAATCCCAGATTCGATCAGTCAGAACAAAAGTACGTTTTCATGAGTTTCATGACCTAGGCCACTTTGGGCTTTACTTCCATATGACAAGTAATGATTCACAGAGGTCACCCTTAAGATTAGTTAATAAAGATAAAGTGTTTATGTCTTGTACAGAATTTAACTCCTCGTTGCACGATGGCACGTATTGAAGCAATCTAACTCTCTGTTGTTCTGGAACTACCAAGTGGGTCCAAGTGGTGGAAATTAACAATTTGTGCGTTGTTAAACTACTGTCTATAACCTGTCTAACCTGCCACATCGTGTATATTCCAATGTCATACCCGAATTATGATATCATTTTTGAAGCAAATAGTATTACGCTGTTTATTGTTTTATGCTATCAAGGTAGGGTCACAATAAGGCGATTTTCTGCCCATTAGCGGAATCAAACCCAGCTTGTCTGTGTACACAGCCAACCACTGTGCACACCACATGCGATGTCATCATGACAAATGACTTCTCTCCTGTTTTCCCCTTACTCGAATAGCCCTTTGGCATCCACATTTATTGCAATGCTTTGGATAAGGTACCGTTCAGGATGGGGCAATGATATTATACAAAATTTTCATTGATATTTCGTTTGGTGCTACTATGAATATTAATCTAGATCTGTAGGGGACGTGTCTGATTGAACGCAATCGTTTACCTGATTGAATTGATCTACAGCTTTATTCACACTGAAGGACCCGTTCGGAGTGTTTTGTAAATATCTCTAACATAAACATTTATCGGTTTGATCTATAATCAGTTGAGAAAAACACGATTATGTCAACGATTTAATCGAATGTATAGCCTCTGGTTGATGTCAGTGCAAGGCAATATTTCCCTGAGTTAACACACCGTCGATATCCTGCCATTAGCTGTACTGTGTGTACGAGTAGTTATCTGTGTGTGTACCTAACACTTAAAACTATACGATAAGTCCACAGCGAAATATGAACATGTAGTGTATGGTCCTCTCACATGAAGCCATTTTACCTATTAGAGAGTTGAACATTCCATGAAATGAGACAGATTAGAGAAATCCGTATCACATCACAGTCACAGAAAAAATCCACTGCAAGAAAGGAAAAAGGATAAATAGGATAGTTTCAATTATCCAATAGTCAATTTTCCTTTTAAAGTCGTGCCTTTCGTGTCGACATTTCTCGTCTGATCTGTCTGATCAGTGTTGGATTATAGAAGGTTAAACCGTTTGCGGTAGACAAAAGAAGGAACTAAGAAAAGCCAGATTTATGGATGTCAACTTCTTTTTATTGTGAATAACACGACGTTTCGAAGAGTCTACTTGTTCCTTCATCAGATGCAAGCATACACTTCGAAACGTCGTGTTATTTACAAATTTAAATGTAGATATCCATAAATCTTGCTTTTCTTATGGAATCCACTTCTGAATGCCCTTCAAAGATTTTAAAGAAGAACCTTTCTAAATTTCGAAATCCATCGCATCACAAAATTAATGTCTTATGCAATTCCCGATATTGAGTTTTACCACATCCTCCTGTGTTTGTTGGCAAATATTTGGCTTGCCTCTGAATGTGTTTGTGATGGGTACCACACGTAGGGGAGGATACCCTAGCATTGTCGTTTACACCTGGTGTAATGACGGTTTGATAGTGACTGCGTAAAGGTGAAATAGCTGTTATTAACATTTAAATTGGCCTATTACTACATGTAATTTTGAATACTGATAAAATTATATGAGTCAGCACTTGCTCCAGATCTGTTTACTTTTCACATCTTTGTTAAAACCAAATTCACAGAGATAAAAGCGACCGAACTTCTTTACACAATCACAAGAAATGACTTCTGAATGCAGGTACAATTGTATGGATGCTAAATATTTTCTGTTTTCCAGAAGTCTGGTGAAACATTTCGATCATGATAAACCATGAACGTGATATGGCGACAAAACATATCATCTCATTGATTTCAGTCCTACAGTGATCAGAAACCTTTGATGAGTTGTATTGGAAAACATAACAATATCAGAACACTAATGAATATCGATTAGAGAAAATAAAGGGCAGACTATTTTGAAAACCAATGTATTTAGGCTGCCCTCAATGCAGTGGGGACTTTTGTTTACGTTTTCGTAAGTTGGAATTTTAAGAATAATTTCAACATCCTTGGGAAATCCAATATGAAGCGGTAGGGTTTGGGTTGGCGGGTCAAGGCCATCAAGGGAGAGGTGAACAATTTCTTTGCACCACATACTGATAAAAGCGTATAACCGCACCTGCAGTTGCGAATAGCTAGCTTCTGGATAACCGTAAATATCCAAAGTCTTTTGTCTTGTTGCAACATACTGTTTAATTCGTTGGTGGAGCCTTTGTTTGTCTGTATTGATGCTACAGTATACCTTCTATAATTATGTTATATAGAGGACTGATCGTGCAACAGGACATGGTGCAATTGTGTTGCAGTAAAGTATTAGGAAAGTGCCTCGTCCCTTTTCGAAGTCGATGAGGTGAATTCAGTGCCCCTTTAAAAAGTGGTTGCCAGGAACCACAAGTTACAAACTTCTTGTAGTTAGCAACCCCGTGGAGTCAGCTACAGCCTCGTCTAAAATATCCATGTGGACTATGATATATACTGGGAGGACCAGTTCTCTTTCCAGGCTTTCTAAACTTTAGAATAAGTGAATTCCACGAAATACCTTGTATTAAAACTCGGAAATGTTTGAAAAGTTATGAAAAGTTGATTATTTTGGAAGACTGGCCTAAAATAGCTTACCGCCCTTCACGTTTGAAGAGTTTGTACAGATCATGTTTAATTAGCTTGGCCATATTGCTTGTCCAGCGACGATGAGATGCATCTGTGTTCTGACAGTTTAACCTCGACAACAATAACCAGCCATACGTCATGGTATGTTCCACATACCAGTATATCAGTGAACGGGTGGAAGGACTGGAACAGTCGCGAGGTTATAATCAAGTATAGTATTGATTATTGATAAATGATTTTATACTACAAACGAGCAGCTCGTCAACCAACTATGCCATTATGTACGAAGAAAGTGCTTTCAATGGGTAAATCAATAGTCACCTGGAGGACCGACATTTACTGTTCCTGGAATTTAGTCTGTTATTAGTGAATGATTATGTTGGATTGCCTTCGATATGAACCGAACAGCCAGCCCCTTGTCTTGTGTCTGTGAAAGAAGTACCGGTAATATCATATCAATATCGCCGTCATCATGCGGATGTCCGTTTGATGCTGATCACAGAGCATATGGGAATAAATGATTTTCAAATATGAAAACTTATGACCAATCTGCGAAGGATCTAGTTCAGAGGAACATGACAGGGGTCATGGTGGCCGTTGACTGTAACATGCATAATGATTTACTGTTTGCTCCAGCGACAATTGTATCAATATGATATTCACTATTAAGAACCATGATTATTCCTGGCACACCATGGTGACAGTCGATGTCATGTGTGAGAGAATTACATGCATATAATGTTGTAATGTATGGAGGAAATAACTGAGACACCAAACAAGGATACAGTACCAATAATCAATAACTACAACACTGATGTGCGGTAAAATCATTTCAATTTCTCATTTCTCGCGCTCGCTTCCATGTGAGAACAACGCGTGACAACACCACATAAATATTGACACCAGTTGTGTACAAGCCGGTGTCCTTTGTCCACATATCAATTATGGTTTAGCACTGTGACCGTCTTAGATACCGGCATTATTCAACTCTACAAGAGCACCATCCATGACAGAGCAATATCACCACTGTATACAACCAATATAAACACTATGACGCGTGTGTTATTTGCCATCATCCCTAGCAACCAGTTGTTTTCAAGGGGAATGAAGAAAGGCGTATTGTATGTGAGGCTGTCATGACCATTAAATGTGTAGGAAATGTTACATAGAAACCATCACAATCACATGAAACCAGAACCAAAGTAAATATTGTCAGCATGAATCGATGCTGGTCGTTAGAAGTTTTGAGCAGAGCGTTGGTGCACATCGCCATGTAATGTTATTTGTCTGTCTGCGTGTTGTGTACCGTTCAATGTTGATTTGCACCTCAACGTATACTTTACTACATTTTTAACGCTATGCGATTACGCAGTTGCTAGGATGAAATGTAACAGTTTCTTTTGACTGTATCCAATGATGGATAAATTGTCTGTATATTCTTATATAGTCTCCTGTCGCTACGTGGAATAATCACAAGTATCGGCCATTAGGGAGTCCTCCCACGTCACAGAAACTATGTATGTCAATGTATGTTATGCTTAATGCAGTCTCCGGTGACCACACAGGAGTCAACAAAGTCTTGCTGCAGTTAGTATCGGCGTATTGGGGGTGTTACCAACACTAGAGCGTGTAAGACTAAGAGGTGCATTAGAGAGAAGGTACATTATTATATTGTGGTTCACGTAAAATCGTCTTCAGTGAAATCTGAAATACTTCACGTCCTATGTGGGTACCGGTACCGTTCCTATTAGATGCCAGCTGATGTCATTGTTCCATAAAGAATCGATTCGTTGCAATGCGGAATTAAGTTCTACAGCTTCGGGAAGGCGACGCTTTTAAACCATGGATTGCTGTCTTTTGTGATATTTCTATCCCTTAAGATAGAGGTATCCTCTCTCATGTTAACTGATACACGTGTATTTGCATTATTTATCGACATTTTGTACTAAATATGTCTACATATAACTCCATACTTTTTCATCTTATCAGTACGTATGGCCTCGTCACTCGATGCTTTGTATTGTCATCTTTTTCCAGACGGTTTTCTGACCTCGGGCTGCACTGGCGTCCGTTCCCGGAACAGGAAGTTTGCTCTCAGTAACTTGACTTTACCTCCATCTTTGATGCCAGCCATAAGCTGCCCCGGATCGTCCACGGCCAATGTAGTGAGTAGGTCCAGCTGCCATCATGGGTTGTGGATCTTCTAAGGATGGAACAGCTGACAGTCCAAAAAAGGCGGCTAGTACAAGGAAGAGTAACGCTAAAGCTGAACAGGTAAGAAACAAAGACATCGTCATCACCTGAATTGATAGAAGTGTCAGGAACCACCACCCTGAAATAAATATCACCCAGACTAAAGCTGCATTGGTAACCCTGTAGTTGGTTCTTTTTTGACAATTCAAGGGACTCCAAAACCAGACATTTGTCTTATTTCACCAGTTTGATATACTGGGATTGAAATACTTTCCCATTATCTAGATATTACCAATAACTCTTCCCGTTTGTTTCTGATATGAAAAAGTGGACGTAGCATGCGTTCAGTCTGAAAGATCAAAACTTTTCTTAAAATCATGTTTAATTGAATATTAACGATTGCCTTAAAAAAAGAAACCATGCAGCTTTAGTCGCATCTGACATCACCAGTCCTTTCCAACAAGATGCTGCAAATATGCCTACTTTCTGATTTTGTCGACTCTTGGAACCACGTCTCAGGTGGAGGTCGACGTTAGTAACAGCAACACAAACTCCCCACAACGGCAGAGAGCGACGCCGTCACCGACTAATTCCTCTCCACGGAAGTCTCCCCACTATGACGATTCATATGCTGGTACACAGAGTCCTCATCCCGAGTCTCCCAAACACGAGGATGTGGTGAGTCAGGCATGACTCACCTGAGTCATAGCTTGCTTCCTCGTGACGCAGCCTCACTCACCGTTTCGTTACTAACAGTGCATATTTCTTGTAGATACATGTATGATCAAATGCAACGTGTATTGAAGGTGTGAAAGTTCCTCTCTTACCCTAGATTGCATATAAATCATGTTTAATATTTTATATCAGCGAGATACAACAGTACAACATTAAACCAAAAGCACACCTGATATATATTTGCATTCGACCATGACACGGTTTTTTTCGTTTTACATGTTTGTGATATGTTTTTTGTTCTTTATCAGCGTGATATGTTGCTGCAATTCACAATTTATGCGTTCGTTCGTGCATTTGTATTTGATTTACTCACATTCATTTTATTTCAGTGTGACTGGCATTGTTTATAAATTTAGAAATAATAGTATTTGGCTACAAGATTAGTTAGATATTTCTTGAAATCGCATTCATGCTTTTTTTGATAGATGTCATCAGTTTAGAGTTAATGAATTAGATAGAATTGTGCAATAGAAAATAGGTTTAGTTCTTGGGTGTTTCAAACTCATGCAGTATGTCTCAGAAGTGTATATATATTGTAATTTACATATGGTTTGATTTATACCATTAATGTCCTAGTATTCAGTTCACTGCTGGTCGATATCCATATCTATATTTAAATGCATGGCCTCATGTACCTTCTCATTCTATAACACCTCATAGCCTCATCAAGAACAAAATAGTAATACTTCTATACATACAGGGTTGTTATGTTTTCCAGTTGACTTCATTGTAATCTGTTTAAACACATTTACTTATTATATACTTTAAACAGTATATCAAGCTGTATGTACATGCATGTACCAACAACTTTTGCAGCTGTATGTGACTAGTATATTAGGTTAACCTCCTGTCTTACCACCAACAGAAGGGCAAGGGTGGGAAGTCGAAGTACGAGGACAAAGATGAAGGGTCTTTTCAGGAAGCCAATGACAAGGGTTACAAGGTAAGTATTTACCTGGAAATATTACCTGAGAGATGACCAGTCTCACAGACATATTTTTTTAAACAATTTGATCTGTTTGTTTTAATAATAACCGCACACCTGAGTGTATGTGGCGCACACGTGATTGACACACAGGATCCATTTCCAATCCAATACTTCCAAGATAAGGACACACCACGTTTACTGTGCACCATCTGATCAATTCGTGTCAACCAGTAAAATGGTAGTTATTTTATATCTATAACAGGATGCTGTGACCTTTAGGTATTGGGGATTCTGGGCATACAACATCAGCAATGTACACACGGTGTTGTTGCAGTCCAGGCAACAGCATACCTGACACATGTTTTCCGCTTATGGTTCTGTGACAATTCAACCATGTGATGACTAATAACATCGAACAATTAATGGACTTGGTTAACCTTTACATATAGAGATAACGCAACATACATTGTATTTTGTTGCTCCCGGGTAATGCCTGTATAGTGAGAGCTGCTGTTTCGGCACAGTAACAACTGCATTCTAGACTTGCTTGCACCTGATACACACTTATTATTAATATACAATATTCTACTTAATTGAAAATTGCCTATGTCAGCATTTTGTGCATACATAAGTCGTGATGTATTTGAGATGATATCTCACGGTGGTTCATTTTCGACTGCCTACTGTGATGTATTTATCTTGGTGATGAATGAATTTATTTTCTGTAAGTAGGCCATCGGCCCATGTACAATCATAGGATACAAAATATCATTTTAGACAAGGCAATATACAATGTTACACATTATTTACACACATTTGATCTGATCACGAGGGCATGCTTAATAAACTGCACAGTTTTAAGAAGAATACTGGTATTATTACATAGCATTAATTTTTTTAAACTTAATGATAGTTGGACATTGATCAAAATTTGATAAATATATACTACGTAACCTTACATATACATCACAGACAAAAAGAAAATGTAATTCATCCTCTGGGACATTACTGTTACACATTTTACATATTGTTGAGGCATAACTATCATCTTTCGTCTTACATTACAAAGAAGGGGTAGGTGATGAAGTCTAAGTAAGCATAAATATCGTCTGTATTCTTTAAAATGTACATTTGAGACATAAAACTCTACATCTAATAAAGATTTAATGGTCTTGTAGTAAGCTAAATGCGATGATTCATTAATTCTACTCAATATGCTTTGCCCCTTTACATCAATAAGCCTCTGTTTGAACATGGATATAAAATGATTAATATTGCCAACATCATGACTAAACCACACAAATCCAAACCCGTTGATGTTTAACAAACTTTTACATATGATGCCCAAGTATATCTACCAGCTGCGTCGAGATTTTTCATCAAAATATAGCATTGTTTAGGATACCTGTCTTCAGACATATGAAGTAATATACACCAGTAACGTACACATTTAACATAATAATCAACACTTATACAATATCTACCACAATCTGCTAATATAGCATTGCTAGAAACATGTTTACCTACGCCAAGAACATATTTACAGAAATTTGTATGAAATTTGTTAATTAACTGTCGTTCTTGATAACCCCACACTTCTGCACCATAAAGTAAAATTGGCTTCACTTTGGTATCAAAGAGCTTAAAAAGAATATTAACTGGAATATTTGGATATATGTAGATTAACTTCTTTATAGAAAATAATGCCTTGTTTGATTTGGTCGATAGTGTCTCTGTACATTTAGTCCATGACAGACGTGTAGAGAAGAGAATTCCAAGATAGTTGTAATATGTAGAGGTTTTTAACTGTGCTCCTTGAAGAAACCATTTTTCATAGTGACGTAATCTACCTCCGTTTCGAAAAACCAATATCTCTGTTTTATCCATGTTAACTTGTAATCCCCACGTTGTACAGTAGTCGTTTAGAATGTCAATTTTTCTTTGTAGTCCAATAACAGAGTCATCGAAAATACATAAATCGTCAGCATAAAGCAAAAGTAATATTTCTAAAAATTCAGATCCAACAAATATTCCTCTAATTTCCGCGTTTTCTAGCATCACCTGTAAATCTGATATAAACATCGTGAACAAAAAGGGGCTCAAGACACATCCTTGTCTAACTCCGCTAAGACAAAGTATTCAGAGATTAAAGTGTTGGTCATTCGGACAGCAGACATTATTTTGGAGTACATATTTATCTTGGTAGCTCATAGTGATGCGTTTAAAATGTCAGTCAAAGTTGATATTGTTAGAATGAATGTTTTTAATGACGTATTCATCATAAAAGCCTTAATGATGTATTTATAAAGGTACCTTATTGTGTAGTTATAATTTTAGTTCAGTCCGATGTAATCATTATTATTGCTGATAATACTGTATTTATCACGGCAGCTGATACTGCGGTAATCGTCGCGATAGCTTATAATGATATATAGATCCACCATGATACCTTATGTTGCCTTTTAACCATGATAGCTATTGGTGATATGTAACTTTTTATGCCAACTTATTCATCATGATTGCTTATAGCGATATTCTTCATGATAGCTAATGGTGCTGTACTTGTAATGGTAGCGTATGACTTGAACTGTATTCAAATACTTTCCTTGTTCAGAGGAGAGTCCGTGAGAGACTGAAGACATCGACAGGAGGTTCTGACATGGAGGATCTGGAGAAGATGATAGCTTTATTTGAGAGATCAAGGCTTGAGGACTGCGGGGATCTGACTCGTGCCAAGGAGAGGCTCAGATATCTCAAACTGAAGAGAGGTTGGTCATGTTATCGTGTACATTTCATACGCATTAAGTAGAAGGAGCACGTCAGGCAATAAATCATTGTCACCAAACTTTGGACCTTTGGTAAGATCGAGAACTGATATGAATAGTTTAGTGCTTATCTGGAAAGTACCTCTTATTTACGATTGACAGCAGATAGCACTCCACGTGAGACTGTACTGTTCCAGATTTTGTTCGTACTGAGAATATTGGTTAATGAACCTTACCGAAATAGTAAGGTTTCTGACTGACCACAGTCCTAAACATGATAAACCCATGTTTGATGGAAGCTAATTTTGAAGCCAGCAAGATATAGGTATCAGATAGTAATCCGGTATACTAGATTACGTAATTTGTGTCGAGTGTCTCACAACAGGCGACGTGCACAAGACGTTTCATATCGACGAACATATGAGTCACATTTTCACAATATCCAGTAGCCAGTAGTGTCAAGTTCAATAGCATATCGTTTGTCACTCGGTTAGTTTCCATGTACAATAAAGAATCCTCAAGTTATTAGCAGTAGCACTGATGGCAATAAAGGGACCAATGACACTTTATACCCTGGATTGAATACCTTCGGCATAATTCTCATTCAACATTCGTGGATTTGAATAAACTGACAGAAAACAATCGGAAACACTAACAGTCTCAAATATTATTGAACAAACAGTTTCATCAAAGTTACCCATTGACACTCAAGTTGTATCATGTTCTTTAATTCCAGATTTACGCGACTCAATGAGACGTCGTCACGTTGGCGTGTTGAACCGGACGATAGCCGACGTACAGGCGTCTCCATATGCCTACCAGCTCCGGAATCAGCTGGAGAAAGCTGAAAAACTTCGCGACCATCTGAAAGGAGCTGAACACCTACAACCATGACATCCTCCAGATGGAACAGACAACCATATCAGAGTTACGCAGCTATCAGCGACCTCCCACCTGTGTCCATGACGTCATGGCGGCTACATACATGCTGTTAGGCCACAATGAGGATCGACTGACGGTACGGTGTTTTACTCGCGATCTCAAGTGACGTTTGTTTGTTTAAAGGAATCAACTGCGTGCTTGAAAGTAGGATTATAATGTCAACTTACAAATGTCTTTTCCTATGTATACCAGCGCAATTGTTCACATTAAGATATTCTTTGGGACTAAATACGGATGTTGTAGCCTTCATGTTAAAACGTCTGTTTGTGACGTTAACGAGCCGGTTCGATTGTTTACAAATGTATGCGTGAGTGAGTGAGTGAGTTTAGTTTTACGCCACACTCAACAATATTCCAGCTATATGGCGGCGGTCTGTAAATAATTGAGTCTGGACCAGATAATCCAGTGATCAACAGCATGAGCATCGCTCTGCGCAATTGGGAACCGATGACATGTGTCAACCAAGTCAGCGAGCCTGACTACCCGATCCCGTTAGTCGCCTCTTACGACAAGCATGGGTTGCTGAAGATCAATTCTAACCCGGGCCTTCACGGATTACAAATGTATGAAAGTCCTGTGGAGGGATAAAGATATAACCACGTTCACTAAAACATTATAAGCTACGATTTACAGTAAATTAATGTGATCATTTACCGTTCATCAAACACAGAATGAGTGTGCTGTGTGAATGCAAATAACATTCTAAGATTATCAGTGTATGATATATTCCCCAGGGAGTTGACAATGTTGCCAGGAGGCTCACTGATCCATATACCGGGGCAATGATGCCTATTGCTAAGCGCAATCCGCTTCATGGTGTCGATTTTCACATTCGGTGATATTGATACATTTGTCCAATGAAAAGGACAAATTAGAGATTGCGTAAGATATGAAATACAAAAAGACGTCTCATGACAACCATTGTCATGAGACCGGTTACTGGCCTTCATGTGTTGTTATCCAATTCCTGTGCTACTGATTTGGTTAAGTCGACGGCTTGTATCAACTTGGAATTTCCTTGTTCTAATCCGATCGCCGATATATGACAACTGTTAAGGGCGATATAAACCTTATTCCAGTACATGTGCCTGATGCTAAGTTTCATAACATTGGTAAACCCGTTTCCTTCATGCCAGGAATGGGCCGACATACAGTGCCAAATGGGCAAGCTGGGTAGAGACGGTCTGGTGAAACAGGTGGAGACATTTGACACCAACGACGTCGACGACCAGACAGCCAGCAGAGTGCAGGAAATCCTCGGATACCATGATCTCGACCAAGTGCGGGCAGCAAGTAATGGTGCGGCCAGTTTCCACGTCTGGGTGAGTCCAATGCAGCAGGCTTACATGGAGGGGAGTCACTGCAATATTGCCAATGTCGTAGAAGTCTCTGACGCATGGTTTGCATTAGGACTTTCATCCTGTGTTGTGTTTAAAACTATAGGTGAGGTGAGGTGTAGTAGGCTTTGAGGTCGCGATCACGATTATTGTACTTGAGAGTGTGTCTGTGACAAGACTGCCACTATCTGTCACTACCCGTGTCAACTAACTGACAGTTGGCGCTGATCATAATTTCAGTTACAGGGATGCGTTCATTCACTCGCTGTAATTTTGTATGAAAAAAGCATCTGACACAACGAATAGTTTTCATGGGTCTGCTTGAAAGTTGACTGAGTATTTCATTAGTATTATAGAATACCTGTTTCACTCAAACCTGGAGGTTTTCCAAGATTCCATATTGGGCGTACATCTAACATGTTTATCAGTATTGTAGAATGTAAATCTAGTCTGGCCAATCCTTTGGAGTGGGGACATGCACAAAATAAACATATAACCAGATTTGGTATTCAAATATTTGCACTCTCGGCAAGATCTGCTGCATTGTGGATGAGAAAATCAGCTTCATTATGAGATCAATTAGTTTAACTCCTAAAGCCGTTCTGGCGAGATGGTGCTTTCACGAGGAAATGTTGTCGATCGACAGTCAGCAGAGCTATAGGTATTGCGTCGAACTGTAATCAAACGAATCTTAGAACAAAACCATATCAAAAACGCTTCACCCGCAAGCTCACTGTCACGGCCTCGCAGCTATCAGAGAGCTACCTACATGAGGGTACGCCAACCGTATGAGACTTCCGATACACGTTGGGCTTACGGCAATCCTACAGTTACGATGTACGACAATCGTAGTTCAACGTTGACTTTGACGCGGTTGGCCCATGAATCACCGGTTTCGAATCACAGATCACATGGATTTTGATCCAATGTCAGTTTCAGTGCCTTGTGAGCAGAACAGACTTGGTAAATTGTATTGTTGGTGTTGTTGATACTGCTAAGACTGGTTGGCATGGTGATGTGTTAGAATGGGGTCTCAGTGATGAACTGGATGTCACTGCAGGTAGCTAGCACTATGAAACCGGCACCAGCACAAGATGCCATTCACAGATGTGCATGCCATAGAAGGAAACCAATGTTCAAAGGCGACCTCAAAACCCTTACAGCCCGCTCATGTCATGATCTCATGCAGACCTCTTCTTCCTGTTGCAGTCAAGCCAAATGGTGGAGAAGATAGACAAGGACAAGCAGAGTGAGGATGACACGAGGAGGCAGGAGGAAGAGAAACAGTCCGTAGCAAGCAGTAAAGGAAGAAAGAAGAAAGGATAGTGAATGAAGACATGTTTAGTGCACAGCTTCCATATCCGCCAAAGATTTTTCTTTCCAGTCAGGCCACCTGGGTCAGACTTATACCTTCTACCTGTGTTCCTGAATCAAAATCCTAAAAACGGGGTCATCATTACTATGGATGGAATAACGTCACAACACAAACAACACTGCAATAACCAGTTGTTTGGCAAACGCAGGCAATTGTGTGCTTCTGCATCTTTTGAAGTAAGTAACCAATGACGGACACGATACATAATTAAGTTATCCCCTGTTTCGATAAATGCATGCAAACGTTCTAAGAATGCGTTGTTGGACTAATATTAGTTAAATATATGCAAATACATTAGGTTAACATGGCATTCCAGATTTCTTTTACAATATTCGTCAAACTGGACCCCCAGATCCAATGTGGCTGGACGAGATGCTTCGGATGTATTTCCAAGCTAATTGGTTTTCTGAAAAGGAAAGGATTTTATATTTTCAGTACCGCAAACATAAAGTCAGTGCACATGATTCTAATTGATAACATTGCACGAAGATAAATTTAAGTAGATGTAAAGCATTCTTATGACAGTGCTACATGAATTATCTCCCCTACTCTAATATGAACCATATTTGAAGCGTACACATAATAACTGTTAGAGTATAAATTGGGTGTACTGCCCTCAACAAACTGGCATACGTGTACGCACGATTATAAGCCTATCATTCAGTTTAGGAACTGAAATGTCATAGTTTAGAAATATTTGGATCGTCATACCACTATTCCCCCAACTTTGGATGTCGAGGAATTTCTATATTGTCTATTTATTGTACAGTGTGTGTTTTATATTTCAATACATCTGTGATATTGTATACCACTCAAAATAAGATAGAACAGCCGATTCTTTGACATTACTATAGTTCAACTGGCATGGCATAATATATTACAGTTAGTAGTATGAAAGAATCGGGTGTTTCTTACCGTTCTTTGAGTTGTGTATATCGGTCTTTCCATGTTATATGGCCATGAAGCACATGTACCACGTGGGTTGTAGACATTCACAATACACAGGGCTGGACCTGCGATCCTGCTACACGGGTATAACCTGCTGTCGTGTCTCTGTGTATAAAGCAACAAGTGCTGATATTTATTTTTCTGCTGTTGTAGATATCGTTGAATAAAGGTTGTATATATTTACGGCGATCTGTGTCAATTTCCTTCGCTTAAAGGTCACATGCAACGTAAAACACAACTTTGCAGATTCTGATACCTTTCGGTATGGACTTGCCCGAAACAAATCGTCAAAATGCAAATTCAACTTATAAAGTTGAAAAATAACGCGATGAAAAAAACGCGCGAAATCGGAGTTCACACGTTTCACTAATTTTCCCCGACTTTTCGGGGAAAACTGGTTTCAACAACTGGGCTGCGCTCATAGCACGTGCGCAGTGAAATAGGTTCGCGCAGCTTGGAAGTGGATTGTCCGGTGAATACTCGGTGAAGGCTTTGGTGTGAGCTATTTTGTCTAATTTTTGTTGATATCTCACAGGCTAAGCTTTTTATGTTGATATCTCACAGGCGCGAGCAATGTTTAATAGCGTTATGACAGTAAATTAATTGTTTATTGAATTTCATTAGTCTATTTCACCTATCACGTTTTGAACTCTTACCATTGATTTATGGCTTTCGGTCTCTGTGCACATTATTACAATTACACAGACAGGCAATGTGTGATACTTGAACACATGACATGTTATGATGTCTTTTCTACAGTTGATTGCAAAATGACAATATTCACACAAAAATGACCACATGCAAAACCCAACATCTCTTGATTTATGGCCTCTTACATATACACACACAATGATACTTGCCGTGAGATGATGTCTGTTGATTGCAAAATGCAAATGAACCAGCCGTTACAACCAGCCGTTACACTTGAGTGCACACCCACCCGCTCTGACTGGGTTCGGTATCCCGGCTGCTTCGTTTCTTGGGAAGTAAAACCCAAATACACAATATTGCACTTTTGATTTGCGATTGTACGCTTATAATTTTGTTTATATGTTTTTCATAACCAGCAATGTATATTATATGTCATGAATAAGTGATAATTGTGTTTTAATTATGTTTGATTTTTGGTTGCATGTGACCTTTAACATTTTTATTGTAGAAGTGGCTGGGGTTATTTTCTGCAACACTATCATCAGAATACATGAGTTACAAAAATGTACGATACTGTTGTGGTGATATATTATTATGATGATCTTACCGTCATGATGATCTTTCTTCTACTGTGTTAGCATTAAAAAACAAGCTTGGGTTTGAGAGAACCCACGTATTTGTTCCTGTGGGAGTTAGTGGAACCCAATACACATACTTTACAATGGATGCAAGTTATGCTACCGCTGAAATAACTGGCTTCGGTAATTCTCGTATTGTATTTCCGAAATGCTGAAACAAATTCTAAGAATCAAGATTATCATTGCCATCCAGATAAGAAACAAATATGTTATTCTCATTCATCGGACGTTAAAGAACGGAGGTGGCCTTTGTAGGCTTAAATGTAGAAAGATTCAAGTTGAACGTATTCCCTTGTCGTAAACGTGTGTTTACATTCAAACACATTACATTAATAGTTGTAGCAAGGTAATAACAATAGTAGTTAGTAGCGGCATGGCAATAGTAGACGTAATGGTAGTAGTAGTAGTAGTGAGTGAGTGAGTTAATAAATTTCGTCACATCGGCAATATTTCAGCCATACCGTGACGAGCGTAGTAGTAGTAGTAGTAGTAATAGTAGTAGTAGTAGCAGAAGCAGTAGTTGTAGTAGTAGCTTGTAGTAGTAGCTGTAGTAGTAGTAGTAGTAAGAAGTAGTAGTAGTAGTAGTTGTAGTAGCAGTAGCAGAAGCAGTAGCTGTAGTAGTAGCAGTAGTAGCAGTAGTAGTAGTAGTAGTTGCAGTAGTAGTAGTAGCAGTAGTAGTAGTAGTAGTAGTAGTAGTAGCAGTAGTAGTAGTTGTAGTAGTAGTAGTAGTAGTAGTAGTAGTAGTAGTAGTAGTAGAAGTAGTAGTAGTTGTAGTAGTAGTAGTAGTAGTAGTAGTAGCAGTAGTGTAAGTAGTAGTTGTAGTAGCCGTAAGAAGTACCTGGGAGCCTATTTGTCTATCCTACTCTCGGCAACTAACATTTCTTAGCTTATGTTGGCTCATCTCTAACATCATACACAATTACTATCATAAGTGATACCCGAAGTTCGAGTCTCTAAGATATGTTCTATCAAAGCGCTGAATGTGACAGTTGAATGAATGAATGTCTTTATTTCCTCCAGATTTCAATCCGAAGATTATTTACATATATACATCAAATATTTACAACAACATATTCACAAGGTGGGTATACACATGTACAGAGCAAGGGCAGGAAGGATCTACAATACACCCTTGAGTGAGGATACCATGGAATACAGGTATTTACAAAATAGGATAATCATACATCTCCATGACATTTCATCTATGTGTTCGGTAACAGGTATTTCACCTCCAGATAAAAAAGACAGCATTTCATCTTCTGGCAGTAATTCGATTTGTACAGACACATTGACATGAAAAAGATCTAAAGTTTGGAAAAGAACTGATTCCTGTTGTACATATAATGTTCACAATGTAGAATTATATGGCAGTCATAGTCATTACAGTGTCTTTAACAGAGTTCACAAGATTTTGAAGATTTTCCTCGAGAATTGATTTGTACACGGAATTGTAAGATGTCTCTATATTGTGGATAAACATAGATCAAACAATATAGTCTATGTACACCAAAGGTGCAGTGGGTTAGGCGGTATCTGGACATATCCTGTCTCACACAGACTTAAGTAGCCCATCGTTCAGTTTCAGTTTCATTAACACTGTTAATAACTATTTTACGCCATGAGGATTTACATGGAAACTTCCCAATTTCAAGATAATCTCTCACATATCTAAATGGTTTGAAGGAGCGTGTCACTTATACTATGTGACGCTGTTGTTCTATTTTGAAATGTGGCTAATTAGGCACAGAATAAATCCTTAAAGGAGGAGTTGCATTGGCTGTTGCGTAATCTACCAAGAAATATAAGTAGCCATCCATTCTCCACATACCAAGGTTTCCTAGCACCGAGCCCTGAATACATCTGGCAAAGTATCTTTACGTGCTTTCGACCAATTCATAGTCTTTACCATGCAGAATAGGTAAAAGTTCACACCCATAGAAGCTTGTGGGGAGTATCATCCTCCTCCATATTTTTACACAGGAGGTAGGGTGGAGATCTTTACTGTTTAAGCCGAGATTACTTAGGGAGTTTGCAGATTGTCGTGCGTTTTGACAATTTGCGTATAGTCTAGATTTGGAGGATAAATCAGAGGAAAGCATGATACCTCCATATTTGACACTATCCCTTATTGCAATGTCTGTTTTGACAAATTTGAAGGAATAATCACATTGGCCTTTCTTAGATTTACGGAATATAATTCAAGTACTCTTTGAACCGTTACATGAACCACTTACGAGCATAGCTATACACAGTGTCAAGTGACGACTGTAGACCTTTAGGAGAAGGAGAAGCAAGTGTAGTGTCATTAGCCAATAAAATGCTGGGAATATCAATACCGTATACGCGAATACCATTGTGTAAGGTTCCAAGTTCACATATTAAGTCATTGATAAAAAGTAGAAAAAAACAGGAGGACAAGACCCTTCCTTGTCCGACTCCTTGTTATATAGCATATTCATTTGATTTTAAGCCACAATATTGAACAAAAGCAGAACATAATGTGTAGCTTTGGTATAGGAGCTGCCACATTTTGCCTTATATACCCGTTTCATACAGCTTTAAAAAGAGTCCATTGGGCCATTGGGCCTTTTCGTTATCCATAAAAACAGTATATACCTGTGAATCTCTGCTTAAGTAGTAGGATAAACTTTTATTTAAAATATACACTGAAGTGGTTGCACCGTGTTCTTTTCTACTGGAGCTTGTCTGGAAATGTTGGTATATGCTCTTTCACCCAGGTTTCTAATCTAGCGAAAATTTCTTTCTCAAAGAGTTTTCCGATACAAGATGATAAAGTTATACCTCTATAGTTTTTAGGATCATGTTTTGCCTTTCTGCCTTTATATATTGGAATAACTTCACCTTTTCTATATGTGCTAGGGACATATACAGATTTTAGAATAGAATTAAAAAGGGCTGTTATTACATTTATGATGCTACCACTGCCATAGATTAGATGTTCGTTGTGAACATAATCCGAACCAGGAGATTTATTTTTATTGAGATTTTTTATGTGTCCCTTTACTTCGTCTATTTCAATACATTCACACAAAACATCGTCATCACATGATAAGTGTTCCTGGCTTATATGTGTAACCTTTCTGTCAACTGATATTTTGAAGTTGTTCTCAAATGATGAAGAGCAGTGGGGCTTAGCTAGATCAGCAAAATAATCACCCCAGAGTTCACAAATATCCTCCGCTGTATTTGCACGTTTGTCACCGACTACTAGTTCTTTAACAACAGGACTTTGTCGCCTCATTTTGCGAACTGACTTAAAGAAAGTAGCAATATCTGCATCAGAACATCTTTCTCATTCTTTACTTGTATCTGAACGCTGTTTCCTTTTAGACTTACGATGTAATCGTCTAAATTCTAGCTTAGCTGGTTTGTATTCACAGTACAAGGGCGAGTTACCTGCCCTTGGTTTATCACCAGCTATTCACTCCCTTCTGGCTACAGGCATTTTGTAATGTAAATCATTTAGCCCATCCTGTTTCCAATATGGCTTTAGGTGTGCTTTGAAAACACCAGTAGGAATACAGCGAGAACCGGCCAAATGTAAAGCATCTATTACATTTGACGTGTGACACTCAATTTGATCAGGGGTTAAAGGGCCACTGATTTAAAGCAATTTCCGTGGACTGGTTGTTGCTTTTGTTGTTGTTTTTCTCCAGTGAGTACCCGGATGATATCCCAGAATTCATGACTAGTTTGTGACGTCTGCTGCGCCACCCTCATGCGCAATTGATAGTACTGTATTAGTATAGACTGATCAACAAAAATGAAATCTTTTTACTCGATAATCTTATGTTGATTTTGTTGTAAACTTATGTAAACTTTGATGAATAATTTGGTTTCTTATAAAAAATATTCACTTTGATAAAAATGCTGATTT